TAGGGGGATAATTGGAAAGGTAGCCCGGGATGGGTGGGGGAGGAGGGAAGGAAAAGGACACACTCCAATTTAAAACTTTAAAACTTATTGCTATGGAAATCATCTAGGGTGGAGTGAGTGGGTGGCCGAAGGCCCCCCCACCGTGTTCTTGGGCGTCTGGGTGAGGAGGCAATGGGACTTGGGGAGGAGGGCTGCTGGTTACAGAGGGGCTGTAGCGGCGTTCTCTGCTCCTGCTGCCTTTCCTGCAGCTCAGCCATACGCAGGAGCATATCACTTTGATGCTCCAGCAGCCGGAGCATCGACTCTTGCTTTCTGATTACAAGTTGACGCCACCTCTCCTCTTCAGCCCGCGTTTCAGCACGCAACTTATCCTCTTCAGCCCGCGATTCAGCACGCCACCTCTCCTCTCGCTCATATTGGGCTTTTTTAAAATCAGTCATTGACTGCCTCCACGCATTCAGCTGTGCTCTGTCAGCGTGGGAGGCAGTCTGAAGTTCAGTAAACATTTCGTCACGCGTCCTTCGCTTCCTTCTTCGAATATTCACTAGCCTCTGCGAAGGAGTAAGATTTGCAGCTGGTGGAGAAGGGAGAGGTTGTTAAAAAAGATACATTTTAGAGAACAATGGGTAGACTCTTTCACGTTAGATTTTGCTGTTCACAACATCACACAGCACATGTGCTTTCGTTACAAGGTCGCATTTTTTCTCTTATATTGAGAGTCTCCTGGTTTGGTGTGAGAGATCACTCACGCAGTGCCAGGACACAGATTTCAGCTTGCAGGCAGCCATGGTAAGACATATAGTCTTTGGGCTTTTTTAACCTTCTTAACATGTGGGGATGGTTTCAAACAGTTCTGCCCTCATTTCCCATACCAAGCACCCGTGCCATTTAAAATGGGTTTGCAATGTAAAAGGAGGGGCTGCGATTTCAGGTTTAACATGCAGCACAAACCCAACTAACTCCCCTCCCCCACACACCCAATTCTCTGGGATGGTCACTTCACCCCTCCCCCCCACCGCGTGGTTAACAGCGGGGAATATTTCTGTTCAGCAGACCAGGAAGGGGCACCTCTGAATGTCCCCTTAATAAAATTGCCCCATTTTAACCAGGTGACCGTGAATGATATCACTCTCCTGAGGATAACAAAGAGAGATAAGGAATGGATGTTGTCTGCATGCCAGCAAACACCGGGACCATACGCTGCCATGCTTTGTTATGCAATGATTCCAGACTACGTGCTACTGGCCTGGCGTGGTAAAGTGTCCTACCATGGCGGACGGGATAAGGCAGCCCTCCCCAGAAACCTTTTGCAAAGGCTTTGGGAGTACATGAAGGAGAGCTTTCTGGAGATGTCCCTGGAGGATTTCCGCTCCATCCCCATACACGTTAACAGACTTTTCCAGTAGCTGTACTGGCCGCGATTGCCAGGGCAAATTAATCATTAATCATTAAACACGCTTGTTTTTAAACCATGTGTAATTTTTGCAAATGTACACTCACCAGAGGTCCCCTGTGTGCCCTCAGGGTCTTGGGTCAGTTCGGGGGTTACTGTTTCCAGGTCCAGGGTGACAAACATATCCTGGCTGTTGGGGTAACTGGTTTCTCCGCTTCCTTGCTGCTGTGAGCTATCTATGTTCTCTCCATCCTCATCTTCCTCGTCCGCCGAACCCGCTTCCCCGTTTGCAGAGAGGGACTCATAGAACACGCTTGGGCTAGTGGTGGCTGCACGCCCTAGAATGGCATGCAGCTCCGCGTAGTAGCGGCATGTTTGCGGCTCTGCCCCGGACCTTCCGTTTGCGTCTCTGACTTTGTGGTAGGCTTGCCTTAGCTCCTTAATTTTCACGCGGCACTGCCGCGCGTCCCTGTTATGGCCTCTGTCCTTCATGGCCTTGGAGATCTTTTCTAATGTTTTGCCGTTTCTTTTACTGTTTCGGAGTTCGGCGAGCACTGCTTCATCTCCCCAGATGGCGATCAGATCCTGTACCTCCCGTTCGGTCCAGGCTGGAGCTCTTCTGCGATCCTGGGACTGGGACTGGGACTCCATCATGGTTACCTGTGCTGATGGGCTCTGCATGGTCACCTGTGCTCTCCACGCTGAGCAAACAGGAAATGAAATTCAAACGTTCGCGGGGCTTTTCCTGTCTACCTGGCCAGTGCATCTGAGATGAGAGTGCTGTCCAGAGCGGTCACAATGAAGCACTGTAGGATAGCTCCCGGAGGCCAGTAATGTCGAATTCCGTCCACACTAACCCAATTCCGACCCCCTAAGGTCGATTTTATCGCTAATCCCCTTGTCGAGGTGGTGTTAGGAAACCGGTTTAAAGGGCCCTTTAAGTCGACAGAAAGGGCTTCGTAGTGTAAACGTGTCCAGGCTTAAGTCGATTTAACGCGGCTAAAGTCGACCTAAACTCGTAGTGTAGACCAGGCCTTAGCCAGATGGCCTGCAGAGGCGCTGCTGCAGCACTGTACATGTAGACAGGGCCTCAGAAAACATCACTGTGATTCAGATGTGGAATTTAAAGAAATGGCTGCAGAACTCAGTGTTGTCAACTCCCTCAGTTTTATTACTGGCCTCACACAGGGGCACCAGGTTTGTATAGTTTTTGGTGGTGCCCAGAACAGGTCCAAGTGCCGCCCCCCCCCCACCTGCCTTGTAAGCCAATATATATTTTTTAAAATAATGTAAAAATGTGAGGGCTCTGGGGTGGGGCTGGTGATGAGAGGTTTGGGGTGTGGGAGGGGCTCAGGCAGAGCGTTGGGGTGCAGGGGTGCAGGCTCTGGGGTGGGGCCAGGGATGAGGGGTTCACGATGCAGGAGGGGGCTCAGGGCTGGGGCAGAGGGTTAGGGTGCGGGGGGATGAGGGCTCGGGCTGAGGATGAGGGGTGTGGGAGGGGCTCAGTGCTAGGGCAAAGGGTTGAGGTGCAGGGGGGTGAGGGCTCTGGCTGGGGCTGGGGATGAGGGTTTTGGAGTGTGGGAGGGGCTCAGGGCTGGGGCAGAGGGTTGAGGTGCAGGGGGGGTGAGGGGTCTGGCTGGGGGTGAGGGCTCTGGGGTGGGGCGAGGCTGAGGCTGAGGAGTTTGGGGTGCAGGCAGGCTGCCCTGGGGCTGGGGCCAGAGAAGAGGACCCCCCCAGCCCTCTCTCCCCCGGCAGCACACTCACCTCGCACCACTGTCACTGCATGTGCTCCTAGGGCCCCTCTCAGGTCCAGAAAGCCCCCTCGCCTCCCCTCTGGTGGGTGCCGGGGGGAGCTGCTATCACATGTGCACCTCCTCCCCTGCTGCTGCCCCTCACGGTAGCCTCACTGGGGGTGGGGGATGGGGCTGCCCCTTGCCCAGCATGGGGCAAGAGTAGTGACTGCGGACGGGGGGGGGGCCCTGTGCTAGTGGAGGGTCATGCCAGAAAAGGGAAAGGTCCGAGGCGGAAGGGCAGGGGCAGGGTCTGCCCGCTCCGGCACTAGTGGTTGGGGGGCACTAGGACCCTGTGGCAGCAGTTGATGCTGGGAGCCAGCAGAGCGGAGGCAGTACTGAGCTGCAGGGTAGAGGCTGGGACGCTCTGGGGCCCAGGGGAGGCGCGTGGGTGCAGCAAGTGGGGGCCAGGGGACACTTGGGTGAGGTGCGCGGGGGCAGCAGGCAGTCTGGGAGAGAGCCCCGGCCCCAAACATTGGTGGAGCCGGGCCCCCAGGCCCTGAATATTGCTGTAGCCTGGGCACCATGGGCCCATATAACTCGCTGCCCTTGGTCTCACAATATTTATTTTTTCCCCCTTAAAATCCCAGCTCCTGGAGTCAACTGATGATGCAAGAATCATCTTTCTTTGTTTTTTAAAGTACATTTTTAGCCTTTATTACGGTTGCAAAGAAAAGTTTTGAAGCCATGGCCTGAGTGTTCCTCAAAGCTCAGAATCAGGAAGGCAAAGAAACACACCCATAAATTTATTATTTTTAAAAACCTCATTATGTTTAACCCAATCTGATGATTTTTTAATGTTTTGGGTTGGCAATATGAGCAATAGTTCATCTGCATTTATCGACTATCTGAGGAGCTGTAGGTATGCACATTCGAGAAATGTGCACCAAAGAGACATTTCAATATAATCATATAGATTTCTTGTAGGACAAAATTTAATTTTTTCTTTAATTTTTTTTTATTTGAAATAACTTTTTGCTCTGAAATTTAAGCCAATTATAATAACAAATAAATAAGGTCAAAATCCAAACAAAATATTTCAAAATTATCAAAACAAAATGTTTCAATTAACCCCAATTGACCATTTGTTTTCAGATTGTTGGCTTGTGAAAATGTAAGTTTTCAACTTTTTGTTCCAATTTGGGATGGAACATTTTTTTGAATTCTCAGAATTTTTCCCAACATGGGAACATCATTTCTTACCCCGTTCCTGAAAATACTTTGTTTCCTCTAATCCATTTCAGTTATTGAAGTCTTACATTTTACTTGTAACAAAGTAATAATTCCATTTTCAGACAAATGAGATTTTAACTTAACTGCATCCGTTCAAACGCTGGTCACGACAAAGCAAATCAACTTCAGCTGGCACAAAAGATTTTATTTACCCACCCATGTGCTCTCACATAGCATGGGCCTGATCCAACAGCCATTGAAATCCTGTTGGCATCAGTGGGTGCTGGGCCAGATGCTATAACGGGAAGAGCATCTAAATACTACAACTTGCTTTAGTCTTAAGACTCTTAAATTTACATGCCCTGGTTGAATAAAGACCAGGGGCCTGATTCCTTGCTCCATTACTATGATTTTACATAGTTGTATCTCCCTGGACATCAGTGGAGTTATTAAAAATGATACAAAAACAATGAACCTCCTTCTCTAAGGGGATCCCAGGAGTTACAGTGTTTTTTTTGCTCAGTGTGTTGCTTTGATTGCTGTATATTTGGAAATAATTTTAGAACACCAGAGATATGCTATTTAGTGTGATTCATTACTTGAGCTTAAATGGTTAAAAATTCATATATTTTTTAAATCATAAGGGCAAACCTGGTTCTTCTGGAATAACTGGTGAAAAAGGAGAAAAGGGTGACCTGGCCAGAGTGAAAATCAAAGGTAAACCTGTATTTATTATCATCCATTGTATTTCATGTACTGCTTGCAGGATAATAACAGGAGAGGACTCCATGCTTGTAACATTACACAGACTCTTTATTAAAGCAGCCCAGAGGTGCTAGCACTGAAGCCAAGTTCACACAGATTGATTTCCTGTTGCCTCCTCCAAAATCTTTCCTCCTGCAACCTGAACTCCTCCCTCCACATTCTTTGCAGATTGCATAATAGCTTGCCATTGCTGCTACCAAGTGACTATTAATATGTCACATGAATATTTTTATTTAGGCACTTACAGAGACGTACACAGTTAGGACTGAGCAAAAATGGGAAATGACTGCCTAGGAAGAAGGAGTACTGTGGAAAGGGATCTGGGCATCACAGTGGACCTGTAACGGTGGGTGACTCACCACTGTGGCGCCTCCTGCTGGCTGTCCTGGGAATTAGCTTGGGGTTTGCAAGTACACCCTTCTCAGATGGTGTCTCGCCCGTTGTCTCATCTGTCTCCACCTCCAGGACCCGCGTCGTCCTCTTCTGGACACAGCCCTCCAGCTGTGCCCCTCTCGGTTCTTTCCTCCCTTCTCGGGGACCAACAGTCCATAATCCAAACACTTGCCTCAGTGGCAAACTGCAGTCCCATTCTAGCCGCTTGTCTCAGTGGCAAACTGCAGTCCATTCACCGGTCACTCCCCTCAGTAGCAAGTGGCGGGGGGGAGAACCCAGACCCACCCGCGACTCCCGGTCCCAACCCAGGGACCCTATAGCCGGCAGACTCGTACTGCCCCTCCTCCAACTCTGTCGTCTCCTTCCCTGGGCCACTTCCCCGCAACCCCAGCACCTCCTCTGCCTTTGTATCGGGCCCTCACTCTGGCAGCCATCAGCCTGGAGCTTTCTCATACTCTGCTGACCCTGCCCAGCACTGCTCTGTCCATGGTGCTCCAGCCCTCTAAGCAGCCAGTCCTCCTCCCTCAAACTCCAGGGAGTGACTGCCTCAGCCACCCCATCACAGGACCACAAGCTAAATATGAGTCCACAGTGTAACACTGTTGCAAAAAAAGCGAACATCATTCTGGGATGTATTAGCAGGAGTGTTGTAAGCAAGACACGAGAAGTAATTCTTCCGCTCTACTCCGTGCTGATTAGGCCTGAATTGGAGTATTGTGTCCAATTCTGGGCACCACATTTCAGGAAAAATGTGGACAAATTGGAGAAAGTCCAGAGAAGAGCAACAAAAATGATTAGAAGTCTAGAAAACATGACCTATGAGGGAAGATTGAAAAAATCTGTCAGGGTGGTTAAACACTGGAATAAATTGCCTAGGGAGGTTGTGGAATCTCCATGATTGGAGATTTTGAAGAGCAGGTTAGACAAACACCTGTCAGGGATGGTCTAGATAATACTTAGTTCTGCCATAAGTGCAGGGGACTGGACTAGATGACCTCTCGAGGTCCCTTCCAGTTCTATCATTCTATGAAAATGCAGTTACTGTGTGCATATAAAGATCATTGGATTTAAATTGTTTCCTGAAATTCCCTAAGCCTGCCTGTCACTGCTACCTCTCCCCAAACTAAGCACACTCCCACCCAGAGAAATTCAACATCTCTGTGGCCTTTGGGAACCATCCTTCTATTTGTCAGAGTTACACTTAATCACTTAGGGATCAAAACCAATAGGTGATCAATCACACAACTTGAATTCTAAAACAAATGTTGAATGAATTATTCTATGAACAAGAAATATAATGAATAAAGTATTCTTCACAAATAATTCATTATCTGTTTGCACATGTGTATGTGCTGTAGGGTGTTGGTGTGCTGTTACACACATGCACAGACTCTGAAGCAGCACAAATTATTCCTGGTTTATTTGCCATAGATTTCCTGAGACACTGGTGTGAATCCTTTGGAGTTAATATTTTTTGCCAAGTTTAATTTTTGCAAATAGAGTATTTTCATAAATGTTCAGGGAAAAATATAAAACTCTTGCAATTAAATTACTCCACATTATTTACCATGCTCCAGCATAACACTATGAGTGAAATCCTGGCTCCACTGAAGCAGATAGCAAAGTTCCCACTTAATACAATATGTAAAGAGAGAGAGAGAGAGACACCCACCTCCCATATGTCCTCATGATATCCATATGATAAACTGCAATTTTGTGACAATTGCATGTGACAATTACATTTAGTTGTTTCATCTGCATTCTGCCCATAAATGCATCTCCCCAAAGATATATCAACTATGCTAACATCCTAAATCTTTGAGCAGTTATGTCAATCACTTAAAACAAAACAACAACAAAAACTATCATAAAAACATTTCTTCCTTGTGCCCAAATGTCCTCAAAACTACACTGCTTTGAGGTGCAGTTTACACCCCTGCATTACTGTGTGGTTTAAGGTTCAATATCTTGTAACTATGCGTAACTACAAACATGAATCTTACCTAATTGAAAAAGGGAGATTCCCAAATTGCTTCTAGCTCTTGCAGTGTACTGCAATATCTGATTTTAAAGACATGACATTTTTATGTACACAAAAGTGATTTTAAATCATTTATAGAGGCTTCATGAGTTTTAATTTGTCTCTTCTTCTGACCGTCGTACAGATAGATAGATTATGCTAAATAATAGATCTATCTTTAAAGGTAGAAGAGTGCAAGTCACAGTTCCAATAATGAAAAAAATTCTCTAAAGCATTTGTTGGAAACCGAACATATGCACAAACAGGACAGATGGTGGTGTGATGTAGTATATCGGTTTTACTGACACTCATTTGGGTTGCATAATGTGGCCACTCCAAACTCACGGTAATTACGATCATGTAATCTAACCTCGCATAACCAGGCCAAAGAACTTCACCCAGTAATCTCTGCATCAAGCCAGTAACTTCTGTTTTAACTAGGATGTACCTTTGAGAAAGAGATCCAGTCTTGATTTAAAGACTTCAACCCACCACAATCCTAGATAAATTGTTCCAAATTAGGAGAGATGAACAGAGGAAGAAACTTAAATCCTTCATTAAAGAAATCCCACTTTATGAGCTAAAGAAAATTTTTGTAGAGCCTCAGACATTTTGTCCAAATATCAATAATGATTACCTATCATTCAGAGGAGCAGAAAGAAATAGACAAACAGCTGTTATATATATATTACTCTAAGCTTCTTTTTAATTGTTTTAAGGAATAAAAGGAAAAAGAGGACCTCTGGGGGCTCCAGGGCTTCCAGGCCAAAAAGGTACTGCTGGCAGAGATGGAGATCCAGGATTGCCTGGAGAGAGAGGAATTCAAGTATGTTTAACTTTGTTAGCAGCTGTTTCATTCTTTGTTTTGAATTAATTTCTCATTTTACTAAAAAATCAGTACATTTCCAAATTATTTACAGATTAAACTGTTTTATATTTTCCTAGTAACCTGAAGCTAACTGCTGACAAATGAAAAAAATCTAACTTCCTTATACAGACACTGCTCTTTATTTTAGGGATCTTAGGTGTATTTTCTGAATATACTATATCTGCATGATGAGACTGTGAATACACAAACGCTACTCTGATCCCATTGCCTTCAATCTCTCTCCATTAACTTCCTCCTTCATGCCCTAAAATTTGGCTTCTACCCCATCCACTCCACTCCAATGAGTTCCTCTTGGTAAAATCCCAAGATTCCCTTCTCCACCCTTCTCTTCCTGTCCGTGGTCTTTGACTGGTGAAATCTTTGTGTGAAAATCACCTACCTCATTCTGCTCTGATTGCTTTCAGGCCCTCATGAAATCATTCCACTCACTCCCTTTTCAAGTCAAATTCAAGGCTTGACAATGTAACTTCTCCTTAGCTCTCTGCTTTGGTCTCCTTTTTGGTCACAGTCATCTCCTGTGATTTCTTTGCTCTACCCATCTACTCATCTAGATCTCTCCTTTGTGTCCTTATCCTACACACATCTATGCACCTTTCACATTCTGTGTATGGAACTCCCTTCCTGACCTTAGCTGCTAGGCCACCTCCCTTTAAGTATCTTCATCAAGGTGGTTTATAAAGGATAGCCCTATATACAATACAAATAATTATCAACCCAGTTGCATGCACTAACTTCTTAGTAATGTAATACCATAGCTATCACAATCAAGCAACTTCTCCTGACATTTACTGTTTGTGAACTTGGCATAAAACAGTTCATATGACAGTATGTGAGTCACAGACTTCTATAAAGTAAAACAAATATCTCAAAATGATTGTTATTTTAAAAATCTTTATTTGCAGCCTTCCACCCTTGTTTGCCACTTCTATTTTACTCTTGTACATCTTGGTGTTCAGCACACACACAAACTCATTTTCCTCTGAAGCCCAGCTTAACCTTCCAATCCTGCAGGAATGTGTGGTGCTGATACATTCTAGTTTGTGGCCATTCTCCACTCTTAATTTTATTTTAATTTCCTTGAGTGGCAGAGATGCCTGAGGCATTCAGATCATGGCTTTCCTTTCATATGCTGGAAGATTCTCCGCAACTTGAAGTCTTTAGATCACGATCTGGAGACTTCAACAGCAGAGTTAAGGGAAAGTGGGGGAGTCAACATTTATGGCCTGCATCATGCGGGAGGTCAGACTAGATGACCATATTGGTCCCTTCTGACCTTAAAGTCTATGAGTCTATGAGTCTATATCCACCTTCAAGTAAAAAAGGGCCAGGCAAGGAGGCCAGAGAATTAGGTTAGCTAAGGCCATTATTTCATTAGCCAAGCAGTAAACTGGTGTACAGTCCATTGAGCCAATGAGGCATAGCTTCCATGTGTATCTATCTACCAGATATTCCTATTAAGACAACCTTGTTCAGAGCACAGACTTTAAGAGGTTTCCTTTACGTTGTACATCAGATGTACAGAAATATTTAGCTTCGATCAGGACTTCAGTTTTAAAATGTTTATAAACAACTTGATTGAAAATGATCTTAGACCAGATTCCACTCTCAGTTACTCCTCATCAACCCCACTGACTGCAGTGTAACTAAAAGTGAAACTCACTTCTTGGTGAACGGCTTGCTCAAGTTTTTCCAAGCCATTAACTATCTCCAAAATTCATGCATGCGTTGAGCCAAGCAGTCCTGTGGTCTGTCCCAAGGAGGATTCTAGCCTCTACAGCTACCCTCACCTAATTCCCTGCACAAAGCCCATTCACTCAGGCTTGGGGAGGGCAAAGGAGAGATTGGATCTTACCCAGAGAAGAAATTGGTTCTTTATTTCAGGGCCAACTACATGTAGAGTACTGTAAAGTTACTGAGCCTATATTGCAGTTTGTAA